AAAGGGCAGAGAACTTACCGGAGATGAGGAAGAAGCGGAAGAGCGCCGCAGTATTCTGGTATGTTCAGGGTGATGCAGCAGCCAAGGTCGAAGCAGGGATGACGGTCGACGGCGGCGGCGGAGCTCCAGAAGCTGAGCAGCGCAAGGAAGACGACGTGAAGAGGCGCGAGGGGGAAAAGAGAAAATGACCCCTCGGTCTTATTTATAAAGGCAGGGGATAAGTGTCAGGCGCGAAAATCAAGGGGCCGTGAAATTTGGAAGTGAGGCATAGCTGTCGCCTCGATATTCGGAGACCCATTAATGAAGAGGTATTATACACGGTTTTTAATAAATGACGTCGCGATGGTTTACTGCGATATGAGAAGATGACGTCATGGCGGTTTACCAAATTATGAGAAGATGTTGAAGACGAAGTTTTGCTGAGGATTGACATGAACCTGTTCAAATCAATCTGGGGCCTAATGTTGGGGATATTACTACTGGGCGTAAACCGGCCAGGAGAGGCCGGGTTAACTTCATCAGTAGTTTATTATGCTTGAAGCCCATAAGGTCAGAAGGTGACGCTATGTAAAGGCCCAAGGCCCAGAACCGGTTTAATGCCTGTAGTTGTAAACCGGTATTAATAGGTAACTTGCAGTGTAAGGTAGAAAGAACAGAGACCGAGCCGGGCACGTTTATGAGCCGGCCTTGGGACTCCGTAAACCGACGGGCGTCAACCCATGTATATAAGGGGACGACCCAGCGGCGGTTCAGGAGACAGACAACAACTCGAGACCCAGGCGAAGCATATTGGCTCCCTGGTCATCGAAACCCCAGCAATGCCATCACAACTAGACGTAGGCTTTTACCTTCATCGAAGGGGCCGAACTAGTATAAACTCTCTTGCGTCCCTTGTCCACTTTAACCCCTTCGAGTTAACCCGTAGCGATGGCTCCACGACTAAGTCCTTTCATGAGGACATCTGCCGTGACAAAACCACGACAAGTATGATATGAATGGTATAGATAAGCTATTCCATCTGAAGTACCTGAGCTTTAGGGGTACTAAGATGTCGAAGCTACCATCCGGAATTGTGAGGCTATATGGTCTAGAGACCCTAGATCTTACAAATACAGTTATAGAAGAATTGCCCACTGGGATTATTCAGCTTGTTAAACTATACTCTGAACCAGGGGAAAAGGATCGGTGATGGGGAATTTTTTGTGACCCACGAAATTTCGGACATCTCGGGAAATATTTTGTTAATTTCACACCGAAACAGGTCCACAAATTCAAATAAAATATTACTGCAATTTCACCGAATTTTTGCTGGCAGCTAAACTCAAGTAATGTACTGAACATAAAGCAGATGACAGTTGTTACTTATGCTTCGGCTACTACAGAGAGGTTCAGACCAGCAATGTGGTTCATCACCTCATGAACAACTTGCTACAAGCAACATCTAGTACTAATACTGTAAATCTGTAACTATGCTATTTGAATAGATTGTGTGCTAGTGGCGGCAAGGTTGCTCACCGAGCAGGCCAAGACTTTTGCACCAGCCGCAGCCACCGTCGCTCCTTTCTGATGGCGCCCGCACCATTCAACCTACGGGCTCCAGGCAAGCAGCGTCGCCGCCGGCACCAGCAAGAGTCCAGTTGGGCGTCTCAATTAGCTTCCTGCAGGTTAGTAGTAGTATTATAAAACTTGTATTTACTTCAAAAATAAAACCAGAATTTTCAAAAAGTTAACACAGTGTAAAAAATGTGTTAGTATAATATTAAAAAATGTGTTAGTATAATGTTTGTGAAATTTAAAAAATGTTCACACATTTAAAAAGAATATACGTGACATTTCTGGAAAATTTATACAATGTAAAACAATGTTTGTGTAATTCGAAAAAAATGCTTCGGGCCATTATAAAAAGTTGACATTACATTTTAAAAACAGTTCATACATTTAAAATAATAATATTAGTTTACATTTAAAAAATCTTTATACAATGTAAACAAATGGCTGTGTAGTTTATAAAATGTTTTTTGTCATTCAAAATATATTAAGAAATCTATTTCAAAAATGCTTGACATGTATTCAAATAAATGTTCAAAAACATGTATTTGAAAAAATATTAATCATTATTTGAAAAATGTTATGCATGCATAAAATATGCATTATATCTATACCAAAATGTGCAATGTGTATGAAAAAACAGACATCAAGACATCCATTTGAAAATATGTTAATCATGTATTGATGAAATGTTAAACATGTATAAAAAATATTACTGAAGTATACGTGAGGCTAGGTACGAAAAAATGACATGTGTTAAAAAAGAAAAGGAGAAAAATAAAATGGAAATAAAAATGAAGAATAAAAACCAGAATAAAACCAAGGAAAACATAAAAAGAAAAGAAACAGGGAAACCCAAAGAAAACCGTAGGAAACCAGAAGATACACTGAAGAAAACCTTCGGAGCGTGAAGAAAACAATTTTTTTTTTGAAAGCAGAAGATACTCCCATAGATGTATAAGCGGGGCGTGAGAGAGATTTTGGATGTACTACTAGGAAATGATCCACCATTGAACTTGTGGCGAACAACCAACCAATATTGCAGTCACTGACGTTGCCTGATGGAACTGACTGATGCCATGAGAAACCTCGGGACATCCGGCAGTTGCTCTGTTTCCTTCCTCTACCGTTGCCTAGTCTAGTGGAATTGATCTCTGCACTGGATTGGGCATCGCCTTATCAAAAAGGCAGCGAGCCGAACGGTGATGCCATGGCCGTTGAGCGGCCGTCGCCGGGAGGAGGGATCCCCGACTTTGTCCAAGAAAAAGGGAAACCAGGCAAGCCCTAGGCTAATACAGAATTCACCATCTCTGTTTCAGCGAGACAACTGCGTAATATGTTCACCAAGATAGAATCAACAGCTCACCGGTTATGCTACACAACTGCGTAATCTGTCCCAGGCTTGCTTTTCGGCGAAGAGAAAGAAGACGCTGCCAAGTCTTGTCCAGGAAATGGACCGCTCAACGGCTTTCGTCGTTGCCAGGAAACACAGGGATAGAAAACAGAGGAAAGGTTGTCTTACTCCCTGTCGACCGCGTGCTGTGCTGGTCTTGGACCCGGTATACACGCTGACACACATACCAACTCGGTCCGACGGGGATGGATGTGGACGCTTGAAACGGTAGCGAGGAGAACGCACTAGTTTTTATGTTCGCTCATTTTGTAATCGTTCGTTCGAGTATGAAACGCACAACGCCTTCACGTCAGAACGGGTCCATGCACATTGGTAACCATTTTTTCTACTCGTATATGAGTGCATCTAAAATTCTCAATCTTTCAGTTTTTGTTTGGTCTTTCTCCTTGGAAATAGACAACTTTCTAATTAAAATCACATCATTTTTCTATCTACTTTTATTCTCTCCGCCGCAACCTCGTTCTGCTGTGTCACCTTGTAGGCGGCGGGCGTCGCCGCCAAGTTGTAGGACCGCCAGATTGCTTGGCGGAGCGCCGCATTGTCATCCTTGGCGGGCGGCAGCGGCTCCGGCGTAGATCTAGACGACCTGTGACCGTGCCTCGCTCCGCCCTGTGTTGCCGCCTTCATCGCCTGGCAGTAGGCATGGCCCGTCGTCTTCAGATGTTGCCGCCGCGCCGGCGGGCAGGGGGTGCGGGCACTAGCACCCAGCGGCTCTCAGCAGGGGCAGGTGCTGGCGCTGCCGAGCGCCGCTGCTCGTGCTACCGCCTCGCCATGGATGGCAGAGAGCGGGCTGGGCGGCATCGGGCCGCTGCGGAGGACGGACTGCCGACCCAGGAGCTTGGGGATGCCGAGTGCTGGAGCGCCAATGCGGAGCATGAGCTCCTCCTCGTCCGGGTCAGACAAGCTTGGCATGTCGCCAACGGTGAGCCCCACCTAGCTAGTCGATCTCGTTCGATCTGGAGCTGGCCATGGCGGAGGGGGCGGTGGGAAAGCAGAGATTAGACGGGAGTGAAGGAAATATGCCCTAGAGGCGATAATAAAGTTGTTATTTTATATTTCCTTATTCATGATAAAGGTTTATTATTCATGCTAGAATTGTATTGATCGGAAACTTAAATACATGTGTGAATATATAAACAAATACCGTGTTCCTAGTATGCCTCTACTAGACTAGCTCGTTGATCAAAGATGGTTAAGATTTCCTAGCCATGGACATGAGAAAGGAGGGACAACAGTGGGTACCTGCAACGCTGATGAGGGCCAGTAGCAAATGCCCCCACAGTCCAGCAGCAAACCCGCCGGCGGTTTGAGAGACTCGGCATGATTTCGCCGCAGTTGCGGGAGCGAGAGCGAGACGGGGGGAGAGGAACGGAAATGGGGAGAAAAGAAAGAAAATGGGGGAGAGAACGGATTGCGTTTCGAAACCGCCGCCCACGATCTCCCTCTACCGCTTACATGTGGGTCCCATCCTCGTCCGGATAAGGACAAGTCGCCCATGACCGCGCGGTGCGAGGTCTCCCGACCAGGCAGCACCTAGCGCTCGCACGAGACGATCGCGGCGCGATCGCGCGGCCAGGAAACGGCCGTCCGTTCTCTTCATTTAGTGCGCGTGCACTTTTTAAATTTTAGGTTTAATTTAACACATAAGACTGGTTTAGAATCGCGAGCTGCCAACACCGGCCCCGCCAATCCGCCATAGCCACGCTGTCGTGCGGCCCCTGCCGCGGATCCGGGTTAAAGCCCACAGATCCAGAGGCCTCAAACCACGCCGCTTGTTCAATTTACCAAAGAAGACTGGTTCAGAGGAATGTCAACGCTGTAGGAGCAAGCTGCATGCATGCGTTGTCGCCAAAATCCAGTGGGACTTCTTTATCACGGTGATGGGCCGCACGTTAGCGCTGAGATTGTGAACCTAAACTCCATGGACCATGGCAAGTTGCATTTTCATTTTGAGATGAATACAAGTTGCATTTTCTGTTTCTAAGTGAATGCAAGTTGCATTTCTTTCACAAAAAGGTTACTTGTTGATGTTTCCTCCATGTTGTTAATCGAGCACCAGGCAAATTCAATCCAAATAGTAGATTGTGCCGGTTGTGTCTCTCTGCTATATAACTACGCACACAAGTCATTTGTTGCTTATACGAAGCTTCTTGATTTGCATGATTGCTTCCCGGCAATGCAAGAACCCAAGAGTACCATGGTGTTCAGCTTCAGTTGCTCGGCAAATAGAAGACTGCCATGGATCTTGGCTTTGCTGCTCATGATGACTCGAGGCGATGGCCAGTCTACTTCGGGTAATACAAACCATATCCTCCTAGTTTCAATTATCGCATCTTTAATCCCTGCTCCGTCTGCACATTTTAGTTTACTTCAGCGTAGAACTGAAGAAATCCCACTACTGATATATCTTAATAATAAACGTATTATTAGCTACTGAATACCTAGTGGCACATGTCATGATCATCTTAAACATGAGACACATGAAACTGATACATACTCTCCATTACGCAGGGTTTGTAAGCATAGATTGTGGATTCACAAACGCTAGTCCCTACAAGGACAGCACCACGGGACTCATGTTCCTTCCTGATCTTAAATTTGTTGAAGGCGGTGTGAGCAACAATATTTCAGCAGCATTCATGGCTGATGCCCCATATGAGAACCAAAAAACCTTGAGGAGCTTCCCTCATGGCAAACGGAATTGCTACACACTGCCATCGACAATTGGGAAGAAGTTTTTGTTGAGGACTATGTTTACTTATGGCAACTACGATGGGTTGAACAGGAGTATGGACGGGTCGCCTTTTCTGTTCGGGCTCCATATTGGCGTCAACTTCTGGGATACGGTGAACTTAACAAATATGGATCCATCGATCACGGATTGGAAGGAGGTACTCACCATTGCTCCGAGCAACTCCGTATCCATCTGTCTGATACACTTTGGTTCAGGGACTTCGTTCGTGTCTTCCTTGGAGCTGAGGCCACTACTAGATCCGATGTACCCTTTTGTGAATACAAGGGTATCAGTCGGCTACTTTAGACGAATCAGATTTGGCAATGCCACTGAATATATCACAAGGTGAGACTGACATCCATGATAGTTTAAGATTGAAATCAGATTATGCATGTCAATTGTTTTTGAATGTGTTGGCTAGCTCAATGCATTTGAAGCAGAAGAGCACACACTTCAAATGCATTGTCCAATAATATCTCAAGGTGCCAAGAAATTTATATAACCAGCTCCAATAGAACCAAAAAAATAGTGTATCATGCTAGCTTAGCTATTTACATGTTTTCCCTTGTCTTTGTGTGTGATGAAGATATCCAGTGGACCCTTACGACCAGTTTTGGGAGGGCTGGTCTTTCTCCTACAGCTCCTACCCCTGGATTAGCCTCAGCACTAGCAACAAAGTGGAGATTCTCCCAGGAGACGACTACTTCAATGTGCCGATGGCCATCTTCCAGAAGGCCACGACCCTAGACCCAAACTACTCCTTCATGAGCCTCGGCATGGCAAAGGGTCCTAATTGGGACCCTGAGAGCGTCCGCCTTCTCCCGATCTTCCACTTCGCTGAAATCAATGGCAGCAACCCAAACAGAAGGTTCGACATCTACAATGAAGGCGATTTGCTGCACCGGGGCTTCTCCCCGTCGCTTTTACAGGCCAACAGCTTGCACGATAGCGGGCGGTTCTTGTATAATGGCAACGCATTGTACACCCTGAATAAGACGCGCAGCTCGGTCCTGCCCCCGCTCATCAACGCGCTTGAGGTGTACTCGCTCATTCGGATGGAAAACTTCACCACTGACTCCGAGGATGGTAAGATCGATCATCAACGTAGATATTGCATGCATATTGGCATATAACAAATATAGCATGTAGGAGTATGTGGCAGATTCGCATTATCATGATGCAGTTTATTCAGTTGATGAACAACACCTCCAGGCTCCAACTCTGTGCATTTAAAAAAAATCTTAATGACAAAAATCTCATTGTGTACTCCCTTCGTTCCTAAATATAGGTTTTTTCTAGAGATTTCAATAAAAACTACATACAGATGTATATAGACATATTTTAAAGTGTAGATTCACTTACTTTGCTTCTTATGTTGTCCGCCTTAGAATCTCTAAAAAAACTTATATTTTAGGAATGGAGGGACTACTTGTTTAGACCCCCGAAGATTCTAATCTCCATTCGACATTGTCAATATCCTCGTTAAAGTAATAGAAACAAGCTTATTAATCTAGTACACTCAACTCCTGAGTCCTGAGTAAGCCATGTTCTAAAATTCAAAAGCCATAGAACCATGGCCAAGACCTTAGTAGAGAAATGGATTAATGCAATTTATTGACTTCTATTAAATAGATAAAACATGAATAAGAAGTAATTAACTTTGCAACTAGTTAAGCTTTTATGTTTACATTCTTTTTTAAACATATGAGCGCCCATACCCAACATATATACAACTTTTCTTTATTCTATTCATATTTGTTTCCATTGTGTTTTGGCTGTTGTAGTCAATTACATGAAAGAAGTCAAGAAACACTACAATTTGGCACGAATAAACTGGAATGGAGATCCATGCTCCCCAAGAGAGTATTCCTGGGAAGATTTGACTTGCGACTACTCTAAGAGCAACCAGAGTCTGAGGATTGTCGCAGTGTAAGAACCTAACATGCACTTGTACCATATACATTTTGGAATTTGAATATCACACTTCATCATTTTGAAGTTTTGAAGCACATTGTGTTATAGTATAAACCTGAACCACAGAAAAATGCTCAAATAATCTTACAGAAACACTTAGCTCAATGATAACACTAAATTAATATATTTGTATTAAAGTGAGTTTTTTTTGCAGAAATCTGTCTACCAGCGGACTGAAAGGTGGATTAACCATATCATTCATGAACATGTCATCACTGGAAAGCCTGTAAGTGGTACCTACCACAAAATATTAATGGGTTAAATGAGATTATGTTGACATCTTTGTGACCTAAGTACAAAACATATGTAGGGATTTGTCGCACAACAATTTGACAGGAGGTATTCCTGACTACCAAATAAAGTCAATGAAAGTTCTGTAAGTCTTTGTGCTGCTGATTGTAATATTTGCTTGACGATATAAATTTTAGAGAATGATTATAACTATTATTTTATAGCGATTTGTCATATAACCAGCTCGAGGGACCAATCCCTCATTCTATTCTTCAAAGATATCAAGCCGGTCTGCTTGACTTAAGGTTCGCATGCTATGTTGCACAATCATTTTGTTTTAAGTTTTAACTGAATGTTGCACAAATTCTAGCATCTACTCCCTCCGTTCCTAAATATAAGACATTTTGGCAGTTTAATCTCAACTACCATAACGTCTTATATTTAGGAATGGAGGTAGTATTAACTATACCGCCTTATGGTCTATGGGCAACCAATATGAGACGTATAGAAGGGCCTTAATATCTGCATGTGATTTACAAACCATGAAGTTTCTTCTTTTAGAGTGCATAGATGAGAAACTATGAAGTTTGTTCTTTCAGTGCATGCATGTTTAGCAGGTTAGTCGTGTTAGAAAACTAAGGCATCTTCTAGTCAAAATTTAGAGAGCTATCGTAGGTAACATCTTATGAGTTCATTTTTCCTACATGTTGTGTAATGGTGTGCCACTAGATTAGAAGGCAATCCCATATGCGCGAAAGACAAAGATACATATTGTTCAAATAAGAAGAACACCACGCCTACCATGCTCATCGCAGTGACAGTTCCTGTAGTACTAGTATCCCTCCTAGTGGTAATGGGCATACTCTGGAAGTTGTACTGGAAAGGTAAAACAAAATTCTATGCTCTAAATTTCCCTTTCATCAATGCAATAGGTGGTAGGCATTAGATAGCAACTTCATACATAAACTTCCATGTAAAACACACCATCTTTACTCTGTAGGGAAGTCAGGTAACGATGAAGATTATGCTATGTATGAAGAGGAGACTCCCCTACATATTGATATCAGACGATTCACGTACGCAGAGCTGAAGTTCATAACTAACGACTTCAAATCAATCATTGGGAAAGGAGGTTTTGGTATTGTTTACCATGGCACACTGGAAAATGATAATGAGGTAGCTGTTAAGGTGCTTGTGGAGACATCAATAGCAGAGTCAACAGACTTCCTCCCTGAGGTAGTACACAAAACCAACTATGCCAAATCATTACTTTCTTCGACATATTATTTTTTTGGAATTGGATGCTTCATTACCCCTGTCCTCTACGCCATAGATGCATACAACCTCAATCATTGCAAAGTTGTTACAAGTCATCCAAAAGTAAACTATAAGTCTGCAAGACATCTAAAACCATTTCAACAATCCATATCGAATAAAACAATGCAACTAGCTTTAGCTCTAGGATGTTTGGTAGCTATATCTTTCACCGCAGGTGCAAACTTTGTCTAAAGTTCATCACAAGAATCTCGTGACTTTGCAAGGATATTGCCAGAACAAGAAGTGCCTTGCACTTGTTTATGACTTCATGCCCAGAGGAAATCTTCAACAACTTCTAAAAGGAGGTTTCTCTCTAAACTTTTTTAAATGTATTTATCAAGCATAATTGACTTAGGTTCAACCAATCCAACTTGTTGTTTGTTATTATCACCAACTTGTATTCGATTTCTACATAGGCATTTGTACTTTAACTCAATAAAATTAAAAGTATTTACTCAAACCTAAACCCGTTCAATATAAAAAGAAAATCTTCAACAACTTTTAAAGGAGGTTTCTCTCAAATCTCTTCTTAATGTATCCATCAAGCATAATCGACTTAGGTTCAACCGATCCAACTTGTTGTTTGTTATGATTACTAACTTGCATTCGATTTCTACAGAGGCATTTGTACTTTAACTCAATAAATTGAATCATTTACTCAAACCTAAACCTGTTCAATATAAAAAGCAAGTTGACCAATTTTGGGTTTGACTTCTTGAGAATCCAACAACTACACAAAAAAACCCAGATGCCAACATGTTTGATGAAGATCATGGGAATCACCTACTTTCCAAATTTTACAAATATATTGTGCTTCATAGTATAAAATTGTGTTGACAGTACCTTTTCATGTTCTTAAAAACCAAACCATGGCATGGTCATAGATATCTGGTTAACAAATTGGGTCTACCACAATTAAATTTGTAAGTCATGACCATGGCATGATAGTCACATATTAGAAACACGTATATCTTTCAGAAGTTTGTAAGAAAAAAACTAAGAGTTATGTACTACTCAAAGATAATTCCAATATCTTGGTTCGCTTGTTAACTGGAACGTATATAAAAATGCTCTGGTAAACAGAATTTAAAGCAGCGGCCTCTCGGAGATCAAAGTGCATGTTTACGCAGGTCTTAGATCTGAACGCATCAGTTGATGCTACTATGGTTAATCAATTTTGTGTGTAACCATCATTTGATAGCTTAAAGATGTGCAAAGAGTCGATCTAAGAAAATATGTGCAAAGATTGCAAAAACTAGTATATATGCTACCATGCACGTAGATGGCTCTTACATTAATTTGGTACATCTTGATTGCAGGAGATGATGATAGTTTGACTTGGGAACATCGACTTTATATTGCCCTTGATGCTGCACAAGGTCTGTATTTTCAATTACGTGTTTACCTTAAGGTCGTGTACATATGTCCCCGCCAAAAAAAAGGTCGTGTACATATGTGTGTTTTCATGACGTATGAGTCATAAATAAACTACAGGACTGGAGTATCTACATGAGTCATGCACCCCATCAATAGTGCACAGAGATGTGAAGACCCCAAACATCCTTCTGGACAAGAATCTCCTGGGAGTAATATCTGATTTTGGGCTTTCACGAGCTTTTAATGATGCTCACACACACATATCCACTGTTGCTGCTGGCACTCTTGGCTACCTCGACCCTGAGTACCATGCAACTTTCCAACTCACTGTCAAGACAAACGTTTATAGCTTTGGCATCGTGCTCTTGGAGATCATCACCGACCAATCCCCAGTATTTATGGACCCTCAAACCGTCCACCTACCGAATTGGGTGCGGCAGAAGATAGCTAAAGGCAGTATTCACGATGTTGTAGACAAGAGACTGACGGATCATTATGATGCCAGTTCCGTACAGAGTGTGGTGGACCTTGCCCTGAACTGCGTTGAAAATGCAGCCATCGACAGGCCCACCATGACAGAGGTTGTTTCAAGGCTCAAAGTGTGGTTGCCAGCCGTTTCGAATGAAAAGCAATCTACTTCTGGGACTTCCCGACGTAAATACTCCATGGATACTGAAATTTTGAAGCAGTTCGAGTTCATGACTTCAGGAGTAAGCAACACAAAGAGTTCCTTCCAGTCTGGCAATACTGATGGGATGTCACAAATATAAACCCTCTTTTCTGGACGGTGAAAAGGAAACGCCAACCTTGCTATTATTCCATTTGCTTATATGAAGTTGGGTAATTTACTTAATTGCATTCTCATTGATCGTTTGTAAAATGCAACTTTTTAGTGATTTTCATTTTCAGTTTGTAAACATTGCTTGTTTACTACTTGTAATTTTCAAGCATGAACCATGCTATTCCATTTGAGACCTTAGTGGTCCATTAATTGGGTACTGTACAACCCAATCCTAAGACAAGTGGTTTACTCTGCTTACATTTCTGCTTAAGATTTCTACCTTTTATTCCACCGGTCTCTCTTGCAAGGTTATGGATTCAATCAAAATGCATATTTCAATCAAATCCTTCAAGCATTTCCGAAAATTGATGACTAACACATAATAATAAGCTACGGCGCGCAAGTTGGCACCTGAGCTATGGAAGAGCAGAAATGCAAGCACATGGCATACCTAACTCGCATCGGCCTATAGGCAGTTTGTTGACGTGCAGAACCTTCTCCATCTCTGCCAGTGTGGCGGTGCCCTATTGGGAGTGGGTGGGTGGGGGAGGGGCATCCGATGGCTTGTATTTACCCACCGCCCACCCGCCGCATGCAGTTTGTCCACTCGGCGATTGTTAGGCATGTAAATTTCCCCCCTAAACACATCTAGGGATGAGATCCCCCCTAAGTCCACTCGTATCGGCCAAGGCATCAAGAATTTCCTTAAGAAGTTTAGCCTGATGAACATAACCCGACAAAACAATCAGACCGTCATCTGCATACTGTAGCACTAGACAAGGCAACTTGCTGATAACTGGGTCAGTGGCGGCGGCAGGTGTATGCCTGTGTATGCACGGGAATACCCAAGATTTGGAGGAAAAACAATTTATATACATGTCAGCGGTCAGCCCAAAGCAAACGCAGCCCACGAAATCTCTGGTTCGCTCCAGTTCGCACCGACGCCTCCAGCCCTCCGCTCGACCACGCTACACTTGATGTCTCGACCCCTCCTCGCATCGTTCCCGCACGCAGCGCCGCTGCCTGTCGGAGGTAGATGTCAACTAGCGGTGGTGCCCCGCCCCCCGCGCCGGCGGCGCCCAGCCCCACGCCTGCCCCTCTTCTTCGGCTCGGAGGAAGCAGCAGCCGAGCAGGGACAAGCAACCCTGGCAGGGGCGCCCCGCCACCCGCGCCGGCGGCGCCTGCCCGCCGCGCCGGCGACGCCTGCCCCCCGATCCGCCCCTCCTGTTCGGCTCAGAGGGAGCAGCAGCAGCCGAGCAGGGATGGGCAACCCTGGCGGCGGCGCCCCGCCCCTCGCGGTACAGAAACAAAAGGTGCGACGACCTCTGCCCTCGCAGCCTCGCCCCCAATTTGGGAATTTCTTGATTTGCTGAAATTACTAGATGGAGGAAGTCGATCTATTTAACAGATGCAAGTATCTAAATTTATTTTCCCCTTGTTTGGCCAAACGTAGATGAAGATGAAGAGGAGTGGAATTGTTGGCAGTAGCATATTTGCAATGTGGGAAAAGGCTTCAAAGGCAAGGAAAATAGATGAAGTATCCACACCGAATCAGACAGTAGCTGCATCTAGTACTTGTACTTCTCCTGTTCATTTGGAGAGCAATTTGCAAGTGGTGTTATGGAAAGAGCCGGAGAGTAGAGGAGAAACCTCAACGCCTCATGTAGAAGATGATGAATTTATTGATGAAGATGATGAACCGATGCAAGCTGATTTGGAGGCACTCAAACATGATCCTTGAAAGCGGATTCCCATCTCAGTGTATGTTGTCAATGACCAAGATAGAGTTGTGTAGAGCTTTGCAAAAGCGAGACGAAGATATTGTTCATGCTATTGAGCTTATTGCTGACACAAAGTATTACTTGGAGGCTTTGAGGACCGATGCTGGATGGGATGATTTTCTCACAAAGGTCACATCTTTTTGTGCGAAGAATAAGATCAAAGTTGTTGATATGGAGGGTCCTTACTTTCCCGTTGGCCGGCCTAGAAGGGGTTTATGTAATGGTCTGACCAATTACCACCGCTTCAAGGTTGATATGTTTGTGGGTGTCATTGATAGGCAAATCAGTGAGCTGAATGGCAGATTTGATGAGGTAAACACGGAGCTACTTTCTTGCATGGCAGCATTTTGTCCACTTCATCTATTTGCTGCTTATGACCAAGAGAAATTAGTTTGGCCTACTACAAAGTTTTATGCTTCTAATTTTACAAGGGATGAACTGGCAAGACTTCCATGGCAACTAAACATGTATATTACTAATGTGCGTAGAGATGAAAGGTTTCAAAACCTAAAAAATCTGTGTTAGCTTTCAGTTATGCTTGTTGAGACAGGCAAGCATGAACAATATCATATTGTTTACAAGTTTCTTAAGTTGGTATTGATTCTGCCAGTAGCTACTGCTAGTGTTGAAAGGGTATTCTCTTCAATGAGCTATGTGAAGAATAAGCTAAGAACAAAATGGGTGATGATTATTTGAACAATTGTTTGGTTACATTCGTTGAGAGAGAATTTTTCAATCAAGTGAAGGATGAAGATGTCACCAATCTGTTCCAAAAAGGCGACCGCAAAGTTATATTGTAAGAAGGATATCATCACTTTATATCAATCAAAAGGTACTTATGTATTCATGTCGTTATGGTATGATACATTGAAATATTGCTATTGCCGGTATGCTAGTGTTGTTTTGTTCATATATTGCTACTGTTGTGTTGTTTGGTTCATATACTACATTTCGAGCAAAAACATTTTTTGGATGAATACCCAGCCTTCATTTCCTGGCGCCGCCACTGAACTGAGTGTCGAAGAGCTCCACTGGCTGCAAGTTTTTTAATGACTTGCTGCGGTACATCAACACAATACCAAGAAACTGTATCAAATGCCTTGTTTAAGTCTAGTTTTAACACAATAGCCTTTCTTTTTCAGTTTTTATTTTTCTGCCTATCTGAATAAGATCCATTTGTGCATATAAGAAGTTATAAACGATGCACCTATTTTTGACAAAGCCAGATTGATCATTATCAACTAGTACAGTAATAAGAGCTTGAAGCCTAGCCGCCAACACTTCCATGATTCATTTCACCGGGCTATTAAGAAGTGAAATATGCATGAAGTTATCGGGGGAGCAGCTATTTTAGGATCTGTTGTTTCTTTCTAACCATATTAGTTGGTTAGTTTTTGAGTTCCAGCCATGGCTAAAGTCTCAGTTAATTAAGCAAAGTGTGAACGGTAACATAACACTAGTGCAGAACCAGGCTTTAGCGCCGGTTCGTAACGGCCTTTACTGCCGGTTCGGCAACCGGCACTAAAGAGTGGGGACTAAAGCCCTCCCCCCCCCCCTTTAGTACCAGTTTGGCACGAACCGGCGCTAAAGTGCCACCACATGGCACGAGCCAGGCCCGGGTGCGTGTAGGGCTTTAGTACCGGTTGGTAACACCAACCGGTAATAAATGATTGGGTGTGTTTTTTTTTCTTTAATTTTGTGTTTTCAATTTAATTTAGTGATTTTTTTTACATTATAATGAGTGGTTAAATCATTAGGTGAAAGTACCGCAGATTAGTTTCGACTAGATGCATGTGGATCCTATAGCTAAGTGATCAAGTATATACCATATCCATATTATACTTGATCACAGGTGATCAAGTATAATATGGATATGGCATATACTTGATCACTTAGCTAGGATCCATCCAGCTAAAACCAATCTGTTGTTTCTTTCATTAAATGATATAATAACTCATCATCATCATCATCATATTAATATATAAACTCTTAAATCATATCATCAACATCAGTATACTAGCTAGCTAAAAATCATCATAGCCGTCATTATCACTATTTAATCATCATAGTCATTACCGCTATCTAATCACAACCAACACTAGCTTAAAAAGGAAACATTCACTTGTACCAAAAGCAAAAATATCATCGAGTTCAACATGATGGTCATGACATTATAAGCGTTCATAACACCACAAAAGCAAATCACTCTTTGAGATTAAGTTCAGGACGAAGAACACGGACATGAGAGGACAAGTACTAAGAGCATGAACTAGCTAAATCACTCCTGCTGCTCTCTCTCTCAGGTAAAATCGCATAGAACATGTATAGCTCTCCTGATTCATCATACTGGAGCATGCAAATGAACCTGTCTCCTAATCATGGGTTGCGCTTCTCATTGTTGCCTGATACGTCTCCAACGTATCTGCTTTTCCAAACACTTTTGCCTTGTTTTGGACTCTAACTTTCATGATTTGAATGAAACTAACCAGACTGACGCTGTTTTCAGCATAATTACCATGATGTTATTTCATGTGTAGAAAACAAAAGTTCTCGGAATGACCTGAAAATCCTTAGAGACAAGTTTCAGAAAATATAAAAAATCCTGGCAAAAGATGAAGACCAGGGGGGCCACACCCTGTCCACGAGGGTGGGGGGGGGCGCACCCCCTCCCCATGGGTGTGCCCCCCTGTCTCGTGGGGCCCCCGAGGCTCCGCCGACCTCAACTCCAACTCCATATATTCCGTCTTGCAGAGAAAAAAAATCAAAGTGAAAGTTTCATCACGTTTTACGATACGGAGCCGCCGCCAAACCCTAATCTCTCTCGGGAGGGCTGATCTGGAGTCCGTTCGGGGCTCCGGAGAGGGGGATTCGTCACCGTCGTCATCATCAACCATCCTCCATCACCAATTTCATGATGCTCACCGCCGTGCATGAGTAATTCCATCGTAGGCTTGCTGGACGGTGATGGGTTGGATGAGATTTATCATGTAATCAAGTTAGTTTTGTTAGGTTTGATCCCTAGTATCCACTATGTTCTGAGATTGATGTTGCTATGACTTTGCTATGCTTAATGCTTGTCACTAGGGCTCGAGTGCCATGATTTCAGATCTGAACCTATTATGTTTTCATCAATATATGTGTGTTCTTGATCCTATCTTGCAAGTCTATAGTCACCTATTATGTGTTATGATCCGACAACCCCAAAGTG